CTTGGCCATTACTTTTGAGCAGTTGGTGCTAGGGCTTTCATACTTCACATGTATAATCCTTGTGACAAGACCTTCATTTGGATACCAATAACTTGACCTTGACGTTGGAGTTTGACCTACTTTTGAAAAACTTTAACATTGGCCATATCTTTTGAAGGGTTGGTGCTAGGGCTTTCATATTTCACATGTGTATTTCTTGTGAGAAGGCCTTTCATTGGACACCGTTAATTTTAACCATTTGACCTTGACCTTGATGTTTGACTTACTTTTGAAAAACTTTAAACTTTTCCATATCTTTTCAATGGTTGCTGCTAGGACTTTCATATTTCACAGGTATATTACTTGGGACAAGACCTTACTTTGGGTACCAACATATTTGATTTGCATTTGAGAAAGCTTAACCATCACTATAAGTTGCCATATGGGGACATCAGCATTTCACAGACACGTCTTGTTTATCTAGAGTTGATCACAGGTGCTTGTGGATAGGACCCCCCTCTCCCCCCCCCCCCCCCCAAATATACACCCTTGGTCCAAGGATATTTTTTCATCTTTTTCCATAAATTTATTTTCTAGTACAAATTTACAATGTATTCCATATGAAATATTAAAAAAAATAACTTAGAATTAATGTTTTATTAAAAAATCATACCTGCGGTATTATAAAATAGAGTATTTATAATACTGCGGGTATGATTTTTTAAATCCTGTGGAGATGATATTGGAAACCATTCAGTATTTTTTTTCTTCAAACATTGTAGAATTAATATTACCATTTTCACTTGTGCACCTGCTGTATTCAGATTGATTTGTCAAAATTAAAAAAAAAAGTTATGACTTATTTAAGATTTCATATCTACATAGCTTTATTGACAGGAACAAGAGGAATGCAGTTCTTGTCTGGACATAGCTTTTTAATTGAGAAACTTTAGAAGTACATACATTACTCACACAATCTATTGCCCACACACAAACAAGTACCCACAATATCCTCTCCAACTTCATTCCCAGGAGATATTAATTTTTGAAGACCATCCTAGTCACATGGGTTGCTTATGATCATAAGCTATGACATATGACCCAGATCAAAGGTCATTTACTCAAGGTCACAGAGTTCAGAGAAGTATCAATTGTTGAAGATCTTAGAAATTCAAAAGAAAATTTTTAAAAGATAAAACTTTTTATTGGAGGAATATCAGGAGGTCATACATGACATCAAGTGATTTTGACCAAGAGGTACATGTATATCATGATTCTAAGCCATTTTTGCTTGTCAAGGGTCATCCAGCAGAGAAGTAAAAAATTCTTTCAGTTTGGGCCATGACATTTTGAGCCTCATCATCACAAGCTATGGTTTTTGTGTCCATTCTTTTTCCATAAACAGAATGGACACAAAACCTGTGGCTTAATGCTACAGTGTTTGAACCTTGAACTGTGGATGCATGGTCTCAATCTCAACACAAAGGTTCCTCTATACCTGAAATGTTACAACCTTCATCCAGTTTTAACAATTCTGAATTTGCAGATTAAGTTTTAGCAAGATGACAGAGTACCTTTTTAAGTAATTTTGCAGAAAGCCCTTTTTGAGTTGTCCCATGGGAGTATACATATTATACCTTAATTAGGACTATTATTAATTCCTTTTATTTAATTTAGTGGAATATGTTAGGTTTTGAATATGATGTAAAAGATAAAATTAACCCTTGATCATGATTTTTGTGTAATTTTTGCACTTTAGGTGTATTTAAATTTTTATGCTTATTTAAAGTCATCAAATTAAATAACACATACTAAGTGTGTATACATTGAAATCTTTTGAATACATTGAAGTAGATAAATGTTTGGGGAAATGACCTGCCAAGCTACTTTTGATTGAAAAAAATTTAATGATGAATAAATACTTTAAAATTTTGTAAGCAATATATATCATGTATTGTTATTTGATCCTAATATATTATAATCTGAAAGAGACCAAAATATGCTCTAGTTAAATATTAAAGTGGAATGCCATTGTAAGTATTAGAGAGTGACGTGACAAGTGGTTTTTTTTTTTCATTATTTTAATATAAAGCTAGAAAAAGGGGGATTTAAATTGCAATATAAGCTCAAGAAATTTAGAGGGAAAAAAGATTTGACTGCCCCAACTGTAAGAAGTGTTTAATTGTACGCAAGGTAAGCAAATTCTCAGTTACGTTCATTTAAATAATATTAATGAAATGTCACATCAGATTTTTAAAACAGAGATAATTTGACAGCTGCAATTCTTGACACAAACTGTCAGTTATAAGAGCAATTTTTAAAATAAAAAATGAAGGGGAAGTGTTGCATGATCAATTTAACCAATATGGCCCAGTGCTGACAATAATGGGGTCCTACCATTCATCTTGCTCTTTGCCGCCTCTAGCGGAGGTAAACACCGTCAACCTTTGAGCTGGACTGACACAAAGGAAACATTCCAAGGATTTAAAGGTTGAAAGGTCAGCTCTTGGCTTATCAGCACACAGGTAGTTGAATTGTTTGGGATTAATATTTGATCGAACTTAAAAGGAGTGATAAAATATCGTAATTGGGATTACAATAGTGCCCAGACAGTGTATTGAATAAGGGTTTTTTTTGTTCGGAGGTCTCTATCTACTATACTTTTTGTGGTGATTAATACAGAAGACATATATTGGTGTAAGTATTATGTGTGTGTGTGTTATGACTACATTTTGTCACAGGATTAATGTGTTTGTCAGTATGTGTATACTTGTGTCAGATGGGGTTTGTCAAAGGTAAGAATACATAGATTACACCTGTCCCATGTAGGTTACTGAAGAATCACCTGGTGGTCAACATGTAATTTATGTGTTTGAACTAATTAATCCAGTTAATCTAGTCCCATTAGTCTTAATGAACACAGCTTGACCTGTTGGTGATTTCTCAGGATGTCTTGTCATTTGATTTTTTTCTCTCGTAATTCTGTCATACAATGTATCTAGGAAAACTGAAGGTCGATCTTGAAGTACCACTTTTTTGGATCTATTGGGTTTTTGTACTTTTTTTTTCTATTTTTACCAATTATCTTAGATGAAACAGAGAAACGTCTTTCTTTGTCTATTTCCACCATAATTTTTTGTTCTGAAAAAATACTTGAGTGCACTTCAGACCTAATTTGTTATTAACATCTGTCACTAAGGGCATAGAATTTCACACGAAAAAATTTTGGTATTTTATATTCCATGCATGTGTTCCATTTATTTTTAATGTTGAGAAAAGAACTAGGTTCCAAGGGCTTTACGATGTCGTTTAAAGTTTTATAAATTTTATTTGAAATCTCATTATGCCAATGTGTATAATCTGGACTTAAATTTATCAGTCTTAAACAGATTAGAAATAAAGAAAGCAAGTAAACACAATGAACAAAGAGGGGTTTATCCTTCCTCATTGATTTTCTTTGATTATTTACCTTAACAGGCTCTGTATAAAGAATATAGCTGCAGTTTTATTGACTGTCAAAACCACACTCTCCCGGATGTATTGAATTTATCTGTATATATAGAGAGTTGCTAAACAAATCTACTTCAAAAAGTGTTAAATTTGTCGACTATGAAAAAAGAAAGTGGGGTAGGGATAGGGGAGGGTCCAGGGATTCAGAGGAGCAGTATACCTAGTACATATGTACTTAGGACGTGTCAGAACATTGTGGCAGTAAACTGTAGCAAAATTATGTAGCATTATCGCTGTAATATGTTTCCCTCTACAGGAGGTTCTAAATGGTTTGGAAAATTGATAATTGCGAATAACGGTTTCTGCTTCGATCCCTTAATTTCTTCCAATTATGGATAAAATCTACAAAAATGTAATGATTGAAGTAATTATAATAAGGGCATGTAATTTAATTACTTCAAAGAGTAATAAATATGACATTAGAGCATATAAATAAGAGCAGAAACATTTAGCACAGTTTATGATAGTGATACGTCCAAGTCCAGTGTGGCCAAGTCCTTCCAATATCCATTGTGACAATGGTGTACAAAAGTTTTCATCCAGAATTGTATGGACAAAGAAAAGGTGTCGGGCATGCTGAAAACTTAATAAGCTGTGGCTGGTCAGGGCTTATTGGAATTCTGTACAGTGTCTTGACTTTGATTTTAACAATATCTTAAGTCCCCCCATTGACTTTTGATCCTCCCTTAGCAGTGATATCAGAGACTACAATGTCTAAGCTAGGGAGGTCCTTGTCTGTACACTTGTTTCACCTTGGATAGATGCCCATGCCTCAGTGTTTAATACCGGCACACAAATTCATAATATCCTGCCTGTGCTTTGCCTATGTCAGAAAATGGCAAGCATTCAAGTCTTTTTTTAAGGCCTGTTGTCATATTGTAAATTAATGATGGCTATTTTAGTCCACTGGATTGCTTGTTCTGCACGCTCCAGTGTGAAAATCTGTCTCTTGAAATTCTAAAATTGTTTTTCAAGTTATTTTTAAAAACCATATTTAATCATCTCAGAGGACCCCCCCCCCTCCACACACACACATACTCTTACATGATAGTTCAAATATTTTCTTTAAAATTTCAAAACTTTTTGCACTATATGACTACCATCAGAGGCTTACAGTACTGACAAATATGACTGCATGTATCTACATGTAATTCTTTTGCCATTTATGAGTATGAGAGGCATAAATGTCTCATGATTTAAGTGACCCAAAAAGGAAGAGGTTAGAAGCTAGGGTAAATGTCTTGCTAAACCCCATCCCCTGATCTTGCTATGCGCAAAGATACCTCCAAAAGCTGCATGTACCAGTATTCTATATGCAAAGATGTAAATTTAAAGTATCTTTCTCCGGTTTTATTGCTTTTATCTCGCCCTTTGCTTTATAAGTGCCCAATTGCAAAACAAGTCAGGTTGCACCATTATAAAAGGGTCATAAAAATTCACAATATGGTGATAAGTAAATAGAAGGTGAAGAACACAATATCTTATCTTGTTTGATGTGATGGACTTATTTTTTTTGAGAGGGTGTTAATTATAAAGGTCTTTCAAAACCTTGTTTAAATAAATGGAAAGAAACTAACCCATTACATTAACGATGCTCTTTAATAGAATCTTGGGTACACAACTTGGAATACTGGGAGAAAGAGACACTTGTTGGGTATGGCCTCATTAACTTCAAAAAGCTATTTTCTTCCCTCACACTCGATCTCTGTAAATGGATTTAGCTTGGGAAGTTTTCCAATAAAATTGCATTCTTTTATGGAGTTGTGAATGTTAAATTGTCTCCTGTGGTGATGAGAGAGGGCCCCAGTTCTTGTTCAGTGGATGACAAAGGTAATATTGGAATGTGGTTAAACTATCCGAAGGGAAATATTGGGAATGTGGTAAAGTTCGATTATTGACATAAGTTATAATAATGATATTCTGCAATGTTAAATATGTGTGTGTGTTTGTGGTTGCATATCGATAATGCCATTTCAGTTATTTATATAGTTGTGCATGCATTTCTAGCAAATGACTCTTAAAATCCAGTTTAACTGTTTATCAAGAAAGGGAAATAATGTACCGGTACTAAGTATCAGAATACTTATTTGTAAATGAAATATGATTAACACATTAAGCAAGAAATATTTTAAACAAGAGAGATTTTTCTTTTCCCTTCATATTTTTGTTAGTTGGAACCATGTCAACTAGAGTTTGAGAGATCAGACTAATATTGATCTGTATATTGTCTGTTTTCCTTCTATATATATAAAGAAAAATTTTGAGTACCAGGTAAACATTCATAATTTTGTTCAGCAGTTTTGTGCTTTGAACTTCATGTTTTCTAAATTGAAAATAATTTGAATTGCTGTTGGTATCTATAATTATTGGCATGTACGTCCTTGATAAAATGGTTACGATGAGCATGTTAGACCACTGCTGTAGTCATTGAAGACAAACATTAGTGCACCTTAGAATTACCGAGATAGGTATATCATTGACTTCAAAGACAACAAAACAAGGTTAAAACCTTCGCTTTTAATTTCAGAGGTAGGATGTGAATGGAATCAAATTTCTTACCATATCATGACTCGGTAATACGCTATATTGAGAAAATGATGCTTGATCGGTGTCTTTGAAAGCAGGTTACTCATCCAGACAAACAATGGCTCCTATAAGGTCTTGTATTTCAGTTAAATATCGATGGTATCCCATGACTGAATTGAGTCACCAACTCCATTTTTACAAGGCCTCATTTGGGTAGTATGGGTGAATGATTTTGTTTATGTTGGGAATCTGTACCTATATCGCTGAACTAACTTGATGGCTTAATCTCGATCAGGACATATGTACATCATTTTAATGTACTAAAGTTTGAAGAGAACTTGTACTCAGTCATAAACATTACCATTTAAATTATTGCCATTGATCAGCAGACATTGATTTACCAACCGGGAATTGCAAGATGAATCTGGCTCAAAGTTTTTCTTAGGTAATTATATATACAGGTATATTGATTGATTGTATGTTGTTTTACGTCCCATTCAAGAATTTTTCACTCATATAGAGATGTCACCATATACTGGTGAAGGGCTTCAAATTTACACCTTTACTCGGCATTCAGGGCCATTGAGCAGTGAGGGTTTTTTATCGTGCCAATGCCTTTTGTGACATGGGGCCTGGGTTTTTAAGGTCTCATCCGAAAGACCCGCAACTTTCACTTCAAAGTGCCGAGCACTTGGCGAAGGAACAGTTGCTACTTATTTTTTATTGACTTAGGTCAGAAGTGGCGGTGATTCGAACACAGGACCTTCCGTTCACGGAGTGAGCGATCTACCAACTGAGCTACTGTGATGGTTTAGGTATATTGAAGATAGTGAGCAAATTTCATTTTTGGTCGATTTTGGTGTGTGAGTGTCCGTCTGCCCAATTTTTCATGACCTACAACATAAAGAATGAACATTGTTGATATAAAAATAAAATGTTCTAATGTTAATTAAGACTTGAAAATCTTTGCTCTAACTATTTGAAGGTTGAGACTTTGTTTTAGATAGAAGTCAAGGTTGTATGAAGAGGTCAAAGGCTACATATTGCAGTGTATGAATTTGCCACAGCTGGGGAAAAGGAGGGGATTGTTTGATTTTCAAGTTTTAAAAAAATGTACATAATATTTAAAATACTTTGTAAAGTTGTGAAAAAACATTAAGAAATGCTTCTCAGTTTAGGTGATAAGAAAAGTTTAGGTAACTAATATCCTGTAATACGGAAATGGCATTTAGGAGAAAGACAATGCAGAAATGTTATTAACTTCACTTATCTTAATGTGTTTTGATAAAGTTGACTTGCAAACTTTTTAAAATGATTGCACTTTAAAGTCATTTTCCCATATCTGTGAAAAGATAATGCTGTCAGCACATATATGACACTACTGCATAAGATTACTGAGTCTTCAGGTGATAGATAGAGATTTTGTAGAAGGTAAATAATGCATTGAGTGATGTACTTCCAATTCTTGTCAACACTTGTGACCTTTTTAGCAGGCCATTTTATTTATTGCCCCAATCTTTTATAGACAAGTTTATTCAATGCATGATCTCTATATTCAAAATGAGAATATTCGTAGGTAAATGTGTATAGCTGATTTATAAAAAAAAAAAATGATTATACAGAAAATGCTGCATCAATTTTGTAGAATTTAATTCAGAATTTTACATTTTTTTGTAATTTTTTTTTTTTGGAGGTGGGGGGGGGGGGGGGGGGCTGTTTTTGCAGACAATTCTTTGACTTTTAGTTAATCTACACACTCTTTAACTGGAAACTTCCCATCTCTAACACAACTATAAATTTTTTTAGCTCACATGGACCAAAGGCTCAAGTGAGCTTTTCTGATCAAAATTTGTCTGTTGTCTGTCATTGTTGTTGGGATTGTCTTCGTAAACTTTTCACATTTTCCACTTCTTCTCAAGGACCACAAGGCCAATTTCAACCAAACGTGCCACAAAGCATTCTTGGGTAAATTGAATACAAGTTTGCTCAAATGAAGGGCCAAGCCTAGCTCTTTCAAGAGGAGGTAAGGAGAATTAGTGAAAGTTTGACGGCATCTTTTAAAAATCTTCTTGTGAAGAACCACTCAGCCAATTTCAAACAAACTTAATTCCCACAAAACCTCTGTGGGTGAAGGGAATTCAAGTTTATTCAAATGAAGAAACACACCCTTTTTCAAGGGGAAATAATAAAGAATTGGTGAAAATTTAATGGCATATCTTTCAAAATTCTTCTTCTCAAGAACCACTGGGCCAGAAAAGGTGAAACTTATATTACAAAGCTTCATTACGTAGTGTAGATTGTAGATTCAAATTTGATCAAATCGTAACCCCCTGGGGTAGGATGGAGCCACAATGGGCAATCAGTTTTACATAGGAGCATATAGGAAAAATCTTTAAATATCTTCTTCTCAAGAACAGCAAAGCCATAATTTGTCATACTTAATTGGAAATCCGTAAGTAGTGTATATTAAATTCAAGTTCGTTCAAATCATGACCCCAAAGGATAGGGTGGGGCCACAGTAGGTGATCAGAGTTTAAGTTTTACACTGGAATTACATAGGAAAAGAATCTTTAAAAATCTTTGATCTTCCCAGGAAGGACAAAGTCATGGTAAGTCATATTTACATGGAAGCAACCACAGGTAGTGTAGACTCAAATTTTTTCAAATCATGACCCCCCTCCCTCCCCGATTGAAGTTTTATGTTGGAATATATAGGAAAAATCCTTCTTCTTAAGAACAGCAAAGCCACGATAAGTCATATTTATAATTATAGATATATTAATTGGAAGAATCTCCTGGGGTTGAAGCCAGTGCAGCTGAATATTATAAATACTAATGGTTATGGAATGAATGCAAAGTTTGCAGCTTTGAAAGACGTTCCCTATTGCAATTGTAACATTGTCTCATTTTTTTTGAAGGCATTTGTTCCAAACTTCCAACTGATAGTTATATGAATTAAGGATGCCAGACATTTAATTTCATTGTTTAAAAGTGAAAATACTTTAATTGCCTTGTAAAATAATTATTGCATAATTTAGACTTTCTGTGCAGAATAAATTTCATCTAGAGTTGTCATTTAGATGACAGCATTTACCATTTCCTTATACATCAACTGTTTTCTTAAAAGTGACTCACTGTAAAATGATTTAATGCTTAACAAAATGAATATAATACAAATTTTGTACTGTAGCATTTACCTAATGGTCTTGTAATTCCCAGTCAGTTATAAGGGGTCTGTTTGGGAAACTCTTTGAGTGGTGCACCATATACTGTATGGAGTTTGGAACACCAATTAAGACCTGAATTGTTATGATTTATGTTTACAATATGGTTATGTAAGGGATTTGATATTTATACAGTATACCTACAAGTATTTTAATTTCGATCTGCTTGTCTTTAGTGCAGCAAACAGCTGCCCAAAATTGCAGGGGTTAAATTGCCATATGCTTGCTACAAATCTCAACATTAAATATTTTCTCAACTGTATTAGAACGTACTGGTCAGCCTTTACTTTTGAATGTTAAATCTTGAATGAAGGGGAATAATTTCACATTTTCAATAGATTTTAATCATTTGATTTGAAGGCTTAATTAAATGAAATGTACTGCTAGTACATGTAGATATAGGGTGAAAATAAATTACCAATTAAAAAAAAAAAACTTTGATGATGATTACCAATAGAAATACAATGTATGCAGATAATGCCATGTTGCTATTGATTTTACTTGACCAAATATTAAAAGGTTTAAAATTTGCATGTTCAGTTTAGGATAAAGTTGATTGTTGACTATGACAAACACTTTCGAATAATAGCAGTCAAGAAAATCATACAGACATCTCTTCCTTGACTCCAACTTTGAATCACCCTGACCATTCAAAAGCAATACCGTAATCACCATCCATTCTTCTAACTTTTTCAGTATGTGAAATACTGTGTTTAGGTAGCCTTATCATTGATTATAACAGAATTACGTATATATACGTATAATGTCTGTTCATTTGACTTGGCAAGTACTGTATACACACCTGTTACCCTTTGGTAATGAAGTTAAAATGCTTATACGAACATTAAAAATCAGCTCAAACACACAGTTGTTGGGGGTAAGATCTTATTATGAAATCTTTTAGTTGAAATTTAAATGATATAAACAAAGTGTATGTATTCCATCAATGTGTCTACAGATTAAACGCAAATTGCAACAACAACTTGGTCAACTGTTATGCAGTATTTGTGCAATCTGGACAACAAGATGTAAAATATTTACCCAAATTTGATGAATTTATCAATCTTTGCCTGAGATTTT